AGTAATCCGAATAATATTTATTGCATTTACATATTAATAATATTTTTATTGACTCTGTAGTCGATTATTGAAGTCATTTGTTTGCCAAACATAAGTATTTTATCTAGTTTTAACAAACCTCCATAAAACCAATTGTATATTATTTTTTCAGATTTCATATTCCCGGAACCAAACACCACTCCCGTGATACAAGACTTCATAAATCACATGATGAATCGTTCTAATAAAGTTTTGGAATTGGCAGACTATGATTTTTTACTAGAACTTGATAATTAATATAAGAAAATATTGTTATTAATTTAAGAAAAACACTATGGCTAAATAAAACTTTGTCTGACCATAATTTCCTATTTTTTCATAATAACTACATATATGGAACGTAGGCTTTCTTTATAGAGTTATTTTTATTATATACTTGACGCAACATTGATCGAACTAAGTATTTTTATATTTGATTATTCTCCTTATATTTTTCACGCTCCAGTTGCCGACCTCTGATAACTTTTCAAGGAGAACTGGATAAATTACGTAAGATAAGGCCATAACTAATTATAAATAGATGTCCGTTATAATTAACATATGACGTAATCAGGATTCACAATGTTTGAAACAATATTGTTTTAATTATATCTCTTTAATTACATATAGGTATTTTCGTTGCCTTTTATAAGGATATTATTAAAGGTGCATAGCGAAAAATATATTTACCGTTCAATAAAGAACTGATTAAGTTATTAGGTATCTCCTATATTTTAAGAGTAATTCTTAAACTTAAATTAAAATTCTTTACAAAGACAAATTAATAGCATGTTTAAAACGTACATGTTAATCGACCACTAACGCCATCTGTATTCTACATCACATAACTTCGTTTAAAAGTCGTATTATATGATTTTGCGGGAAATCGATCTTATCTATGAACAAATTCCAAGGAACTACATATTAGGTATATCAAATTTACTTAACTAAAAATTTTATCAAAATCTGCTGATAGTTTTTGTTCGAACAACTAAGATGTATATTTTATAATATTCGAGAATAAGTGACGCCAAAATTAAAGCCAAAAAAAAATTGTACAATTCCTCTTAAACTAATTAAAATAAAAGTTATGCTCATAAAAATCCACTTCTTCAATACTCTGGTATTGTTAGATGATTTTGTTAGTTTTCATTACTATTTTGAGGAAAATTACTTGTTAGTAGTCACACAGTGATATCGCTTTGTAGAACTATCAAAAATTCTTGAGTTTTGATAATTGTTAAAAATTACTGGATAATTGTATTTTTTTTTTAGTGCCAATATAAACTTGATATCCTTTGGTAGATTGACTGATGGATAGATTGTTTACAAATAAACAATATTAAAACTATTGCAATATTTTTAAAACAGACAGGAACTTTAAATGTATGTCGAACTTTCGAATTATTATCTACTTATCATATTCATCATCATTACACATAAAGGGATTATCATAACAGCTGAAAAATAAAATATTCTATAATAATCAGTGAATTTATTGTAAAATCATGCTGACAAATGTATTTCATTCAGGAAAATCAATTAAATATGTGACAGAACTTAAAACAACTTTATTAACATGATATAGAAATAATATATAATATAATGTATGCTGTAATAACGCTGGCCGTGGTATCATCTATAATAAAATGTAAACCCTTACCTTACAACCGTTATCTTGTTATATCTTATCCTAATAAGGCTATCATAATACTACCACCCTCACTAATTACATAACATCGTCTGAAACATTATTGCTTCTGATTAAATTATACAAAATTATAATAAAATAATACCAACAAAATGTATAATTATATAAAGAAAATCATCCAACACTAATTCCTCAATATAAGCTTAAGCAAACTTTTTTAATGTAAACAAATTAACTAAATTGTTTATATCTTATGATATGATAATGATATGATACAAAATCTACACTGGTTCCAGCCAGTTAGCTGGCTCTGGTCATAAAAACAACAGATAATCATTTAGTACATTTAAAATAAATTGATTATTACTAATTGAAATATATAATTTTTGAATAAAATAACCGACATAGTCAGGGTAGAATACAAACTTAGTGGAAGAAACCTCTGAACTTAAATATTCTTTGAATTAGAAAGAGAATCACTTAAATATATATGACAATTCTAATTGTAATATAATATATTGTGCGTATGTACGTCTCATTGGACTGTTATTTTATGAGACAGAGCCATTTATAAATCATTTATTATGTAATATGTACCTATTATAGTCACTAGCATGCAACTTACACTACAAATATCATTTAAGGCATAACACAATATCATATTGTCAGATCTATCAGGAAGCATGTTTCTTAATTAGTAATTGATGGCTTTCATTGACTTACGGTATACATATTATAAGCTTTATATAGTTGCACATTTTTGTAATATATAAAAATATATACAACAATATGTAACCACTCTTAGAACTAGTTTTTTTTACCAATATGGAATCAAATCGACAATGTGTACGCTACGCTTAAAGCTCTTTGTTCGAATATAAAATATAATCCATTATTATATATAATTTCATTGTTTGTTTCAGTTTCATTGTATAACAAAAGGTTAAAAATTAATTTAATCATATATATAAAACAAAAATATCAAATTAAAATATTAATTTACGTGAAAATAGTAAATTAAGTTGAATAGATTTAAAAAGAACATAATTCTTTAAATATCTCAAACTAGGACACACCTATATGAAAAAGATTACTAAATAAACTCACATCAAAATTATTATTTATATATGAATTATTTATATTCTAACAGATTATGGATATATTTCGTTAAAATAGTAACTGCGTTTTTTGTAATAACTATTATTAGATTAATTTGTCCGAGATTCTAGCCGAAGACGATTTGGCTTAAGTTTTACTACCTAAGTTGGCTGTATTAGTCATTTTAAAATAAAAACAAAGCAATATTTAAAGTAGACCTTGTGTTGAGACTCACGCATTATTTTACACAATATTATCGCCATTTTGTTTAATTCATTACATGTACTTAATCAGTATACGAGTACAATCTAAATTGCAATATCATAAAATATCTACACACGCTCCTAAAATCTTTCGTCTATCAACTAAATATATCAAATCGATATAATTACCGCCTTATTATCAAGTGCACTTATAATCTCACTACTTCATAGTTCCATTTGTTCGAATTATTAGCCTTCTTATCTCTAATGAATTCGTATAAAAGTCGATTTTTCTATTATTGCAAATTACGTATACGCTTTCAGGCGTCAAGATATGGTACAATACTGAGCATAAATAAATGCACCAATAAAATTTATATCAACGTCAAGATATTTTGGCGCGAAAATTTTTTGTCATTACCAGGATTGCAATTGTCAATTTTTGACATAATATGCTAAGTCGGTGTAGGTATAATTTATGTATAGGCCTGAGGTGTGAGAACGTAATTCAGTTATATGAAGAATATATTAAACCAATTAATATAGAAGTATAATTTCAGCAGTTTGTCAGATTAGGAGAAGGTTTTTATTGCTATATATTGGTATTGCTAACAATATTTTGTCTCTTAGTAACTTTACCATATGGACGGAGATTACCTATAAACCCCTTCCTAATATAGTATCCATAAAGGCTTCGACATGCAAATATTAGGAACGCTGTATAATGCGCAAGACACTTTTCTGTAAAAGATTCATATGTTACGAGACTCGAAATTAGTTCTAACAAATTTGTTAGTATATATTAGTTAACCATTTCTTTAATAAACTATATATTGTCGCAAATCAAATTTCGTTGAGTATACATTCAAATATCTAATAAATATTTGTATAAAGCTTGGACATGAAATTTTTGGTGTTTTAGCATCATTTCTGATATGAGCGACACGACATCGCATTAAAGCCTCAATTCACGTGTGCTAAATACTATATTTATATACTCCGGTTTGTTTTTCTCAATATAATTTACATTATACAAAAATTGAACGTTTATTTATATTATGTACTTATGTATATTCAAATTTGAATGATGTACATAACTCAATTCTTCAATAATGTCATTGTTTTTGTCATATCACATTAAAGTTACAATATAGCATTTTAGGAGCTCCTCACCACATTTTATATAGTGACTAGTATGGAAGCATTGAGAATTATTCAATTCCGTAAGTGCAATTTTAACAAATACACGCTTATATTAACATTTAAAGATGAAAGTTGTAAGAAACTCACATACAAATTAATAAGTAAACATTAAATTTCCCAACAGCTAGTTTCAAGCAATTCTAACCTCTATACTACTGGTCCATCTTTTACATTGTGATATAAAACCCACACAAACCTAGCTGCCCCATGTTCATAGAATATATTTATTGCATTTTTCATGTATTATTTATGTTTAACAGAAAACTGTTGCATACAACTAAAGTTATTACAAATAAAGACATTCGTGTATACAATACATTGAAATAATACATATTGCTGCTGATACAAGTTATAAAAAAATAAAAAGTAATCCTTAATGGAAGGTAAGTGAGATTCCTTTATAACATGAGTTGTTAAAACTTAACAAAATATACACTTAAACAAATGATTTCAGATCTAATGTTCGTAAGTTGTCCTTATTCATATATGTATAACGTTGGATTCTTTTTCATGTATTCCATATAAATAACGCAGCAAAACCTGAAAAATATTATTAGTTTAATAGAAAGGAACATATTTTTGGTATATTGATTTACATAATGTTTCATGACAAAAAATATTTAAACACTTCATTATGACATTGTTATTGAATAAAAAGCTATAATTAGCGTCTATTGTTTCTAAATAACTTCAATGGCCCTTGACCTCAAAAAAAGGAGTTTTCTCATTAAATTTTTTATAGCTCTTAAAGACAATGCAATACCTTAAAATAAATATGACTCGTCTCAAGTATATCAAAGTAGTGAGGTAAATAACATATATTATATTCATTGCTTTAGAGAGTATTCCTGTATTGGATTGAATTCCTTGCTTGTCATGTGTGTTGCATTGTGAGCCAACTTATATCCCCACAAGTCCATTGCTCCTTTGCAGGTCATCTGGAATTTCAAGGAAAAATTTTTTCTTTTAATCTGACTCGGGCTCCATTCATACTAAACTTGTTTAAAATATTGACAGTATCAATTGCAGAAATATTTATGTTTGAATACTTATACCATGATGATAAATCAGAAATTAATTATCTATTAACATAATGTCAAGTTTAAGGAAATAATTCCTAGCTCCTGACAATGATATTGGGTCAATTGTGTGGTCGTTGGAAAACAAATTACAATGAAGGACAATTGTAATATTATATGCTACTTGATAAAAATGACCCAATTGCCGCTTCCCCTTAACATTATTTCAGATATGTAACATTGACATACATTTTTTTTGTATGCAACATCAGATGCATGACTCGAACGTTATTTATTCATTAACTTTCTAATATTTTTCTAGACAACAGATATGTGAAATCGCTCGTGCGTGTTCAGCGATATAGTTAAATGGGGTGAAGCATAAAAGATTTATGATTCACAGATATACGAGATCATATGAAATGACGAACTGTGTTTCAGTGAAAATATCGATATAATTTATATTTAATTTCTACTTGAATATGTAGAAATTAAGGATAAATAGCTTCTGTATTTATAAAAAATATATATTTTTATATCAGTGTGTATTAATTATCAATGGATGTATTCTTTTCGTGCTCCCATTTATTCTATTTTCTACGATATTGACAATTTTTTTCTACCTTCAAAGTTATAGTCCTGTGTCCTGTGTTATGAAATTTTGTTTCGTATATAAATAAACAAAAATATTCTAGTGTCTATTTTTTTTTCTTGTAGGTGATTTTGACAAAATATGAATTGAATGGTCTTTAATAAAATTATCGTCATCAAAATATTTTCAGTTTAACGAGGTATGAGGAAGGAAACTTTATGAATGAATATTCTCTATCAATAAAACAAAAATCCTTTATATTTCTCTGAAATACCACAAAATTGTTTTCATTTTTTTAAATGGCTACAACCGCAGGAAAAATGTAACGTACTAATGTTCTATTCCATAAATTTATATTTATTACTAGTTTTTGCCGGCGACTTCGTCCGCGTTAATTTCGTCAGTAGTAATATATGTACAGCTGACCGGGCGAACTCTATTCCGTCCTAGAGGCCATTAATAATCAGGTTTTTCCTGTTTCAATCAAACAGAATGATTGACATATTAGTTAGTTGTCAAATCTAATGTCAAAAAAAACGTTTGTATGGGAAATAGAAAAGGGCTGTTTTTATGGTTTTCCCAGTAATGAATCAATTTTTTTCAGCTTTTATACCTTCCCTGAACCTCCACGAACATTTCAAGACTAAGATAAGATAAATCCGTTCAGCTGTTCTCGAGTTTTAGCGAGAATAAGGAACAGCAATCCATTTTTATATATATAGAAGATGGAAGATAGAAGATAGAAGATAACCTGAAAATAACAAGTTTTTATAGTTAAAACTACGTAAAAATTTAATATAAAGAAAAAAAGCTTGCTCGACAGACATATAAAGATTTGAATTAGGAAATAAATTGAGTATTTTTATTATTATAATTGCATAAAAATTACTAATTTGTAATTAACTTTAATTGCTAATTATAAAGAATTATTAGAAGCGTTAAATTTTTTATCACATTCATATAACTAAGAATTTTACGGTACGTTATACTAAATTAGCTCGTACTGAAAATTTGAACACTAATTACTGTAAAAGTAATGGCTAAAAATAAATGATGCAATATATGTATAAATGAAACTATATACTTCATATTCGGTAACAAATAATTAAAAGGTGGAACAATTGACGTATACTCATCGCGTCCCAAATATTTTAAGGGTTAAGGTTTCAATGCCGTTTCATTTGTTCTTTTGGGGTCAAATTATTATTTGACGTAATTGTTTCCGTTTGAAAACAAACAGCGAACATTTTTTTATAATATGATGCAGAAATTCAATACTTATTGTATTTCGTGTTGGTACACAATATTATCCCTACTAATATTATAAATGCGAAAGTAACTCTGTCTGTCTGTCTGTTACGATTTTGCGCCTAAGCCACTGAACTGATTTTAATGAAATTTGGTACAGAGATAGATTGACTTTGAGAAAGAACATGGGATAGTTTTTATCCCAGATTTTTGAAAAGTTCTCTTGGAAACGCGATATAACCGAACTCCACGCGGGCGAAGCTGCGGGGGGCAAGCTAGTTGATGATAAAATTCAATTAATATTAAACGTCGCCTCTTTATACATTTTCATTGAACAAATCTTAAAGAATCAGATGAGGTAAATGTTTTATATAGATACGTCACACCGCACACGCCATACTAGATGTCACGTCATGGGGACAACTTTTTTATGGAATCTGATACATCGAAACTTTTATGCAAGCTTGAATCATTGTTCCCGGGTTTTACCAGAGTAAATAAAAAAACAAAGGAAAAAATACGACCCAACTAAGCTGTCTTAATGACTATAATTGATGTAATAAATGCAAGTTACTCTACCGTCTGACGGCCATTGATGAGAAAAAAACTGTAATAAAAAACTGAGACAATAAGATTGTTTTCTTAGTACATTCTAAGTACATTCGGTGAAAGAATATCTCTTCTCAATGTCAATTTCAATTATAAAACTATAATAATAACTTACAATGAACTTTGACTTGTTTGTATTTAGATCAAATTCAAGGTTGAATATTTGCATAATTTGAAGACGTTTCAAAAATGACATTTTGTTATAATATTTATTACGTTAACAAAATAAAGGTTAGCATGTTTGTCTATGTATCGGTAATGTAATGGAAGGGATAGTTGAATGTTAGTAGGACAGAGGTACAGAGTTGAAGAGTGAAATCTACGTGGCTGAATGACCTAAACTATTGCTAATCTACACTGCCATAGATGGAAAATATCTTCTAAAGAGTTTTTCTGCTCTTATCTGCAGTAATCTATATTATTATTTTCAGTATCAAATATTGACGTCAAATAAACTACATATTTTTAATTAGATGTCGTGTTAATAATTAGTGGACTTATTTTAGTTATGATGATTTTTTTTATTTGAAATATATACACAAGCACATCCTAAGGATTTGCATTGTTGTCTAGTTTATATTAGAAATACCATAACACAAATAATTAAAATCGAAAACTAGGTAGTAATTTGGGATATCAAAACGCAAGCTAAGTTAGGAATTATGTAACCACATAATATACAGGGTGACTGGTGAATTACTATCGATATTTGAGGACGTGATATTTGACGATCATTTATGACAAAATAAAAATTAATATAACATAAATATTAATAAACTTCTAAGTAAAGTTAACCAAAAGTTATGTAATTAATTACGCATCGTATGAACACCCTACAGATTAGGTATACACACACACTCACACATACGCGCGCGGAGGCGTGTTGTTGTATCAGCACGCCGCCGCACGCGTCCACACTTGGAACACTTGGAACGTGTACACACTTTATTTATTTATACGGAAATTTGGTCAAAAATTAAGTACCTATTTTTTTTACATAATTCGAATGAGAATCATGTACCGAGTATGCTCCTTAAATATTGATAGTAATTCACCAGTCACCCTGTATATGCATCTAATAGTAAAATACAGAACCTAGCTGTTGAAGTAGATTTAAAATTATCGCATAGTAACACCGAAGACAATAAGTCATACTGCCGATAAAGCGCAGTAAAAGGTTTTTTTTTTTTTAATTTCAAACTAAAGTGTTCTATTGGGTGCATGCATTCTTATAGACAAAATAGATCAAGAGTCCTTAGAAAGTTGAGTTGGCTTGAACACCGGTTCGACCTTGTTTGAGTTTCGTATAAAAGAAGGCAAATATGGCGCCATTCACCTTAGTATTTTTAATATTTATGTTTTACACATATTATCTCTGTATTGAGAATTTTAAACACACGGAATAAAATATTTTTTTAATTTATAAATAAAACTTAAACTTTATTGGGTTGGTTATAGCCGGTTATACCTAGATTTTTTTTCATACGTACCTAAACAAGATTAAATTTTTTAGTATTATTATAATACGATCATTAATGAACGGAATAATTTAAAAAAGTTGTAAAAAGTAAGAAATATACATACTAATATGATTTCACGTATATAATATGCGTAGTTTAATATAGTTAAAGAAGTTTTTTTATTAACACGTCCGTAACAGGACGTTGAACTCTAATAAGTACAACAAAAAAACTATTTCGCTAGAAAACTCATTAAATATGACGTCACTAGTTCATATACGATTTTAAAAAACTACTGCAGGATGGCACTTCATATGTTTGATAATCATGATAATTTAAAACATCGTAACAAGAATATTAGGTCATCCAAATTCCACGTAGCAAAAACGCACTGCGGAGGTCGCTCGGAAAGACCTTGCAAAAATTTTTAGAACACGAAAAACCAAACTAAAATGTATATATTTTTTACTCAAATCATTAAAAAACCAAGATATCGCTATACAAATTCATGATTAAGGAAAACAAACGACCGTAATTAAAATTAATTAATACGTATATGTAAATAAGATAAAAACCTCACCTGTATCTCATCCACGTAATTAAAATCTAGAACATTCTTCCATCTGAAAGGCACTGCTTTTGAGACCCTGAATGTTGAACTGACACCTGCCACCTCCATGTTTGTGTGGAGATGTAAAAATTCATCCACCGAGGAAGTCACACCGAGCCCTAAGAACTTTAGTATACTGTATGAAGTTGTGTTTGGGTTCAGCGCAAGCTCCTCATATCTTAGTGCCCTATAATAAATAAAGCTTTAAACATATATACAAATATTCCACACACTGTATTAATTCAACATATATATTTACAAGCAATACATGACTATTATTAAATGTATTATTCAAATGTCACATTAATTATATATAATTAAATATACATTTAAAATATTTTCATTATATATAATAATATGTTGTTTCTCCTTTTAATATGTATGTTGTTTATTTGTCCCATATTATAGAGGATGTAATTTGTTCCGATTCCATTTTACTGTTAGCATTAGCTATGTATAGAGTAAAGGGAACATTAATTTGGATGAAAGCCAATGCATTGCAGACACAAGTTTTCATTACAAAAACAAACCGCAAAACAGTTTTCAAATACATAGCTAGCACAACATCATATCTTTTGTTCATTTATATTCTTATTATATTCAATATTAAAATGTTAAATCTTTATTCAATTAAAAGATAAAAATAGGTTAAACATAGATACATACAGGTAACACACCTATCCTACAATTAATTATCAAAATATATGTTAGCTTTTTGTTTTTAAATTCAAGATTAAGGCCTAACTCACATATTGGAGATTTTTAAGAAAATTAAAATATAATACTCTATTGTGTAATATAAATAATGTTATGATAGAAAAATAAGGAAATAAATACATTAATATATAATGTAAATAGTGTTTTCATATATGATACATACATAATTCTATCGGGGAACTCTTGAATGAGCCGACCGGCTGCCACATAATCGCTGATCATATCAGCACATAACAATTCGGGTTTCCAGCAATCTGGTGCCGGCTGGCAGAAGTTACGATGTTGTCTTGACTGCATCACACCCCTCGGGTCTCGGATTAATAGTATAACTTTCAGATTAAGCCTGAAACAGATTACTAGATTTGATATTTTATTGATTTAATTATTGATCTCAAATACTATCAGCCAACAGCATACTGATATTCTTCAAGATATATAGTCATACACTACTAGAAGCATTTACATTATATGTACATTCATAACAACATAAAAATTAATTTTATAATACTACTTTTATATTAAAATATATATACAATAAACAAACAATATATATATAAACTAATGTGAAGAATGTCTAAGTTTTTCACTGTTTAGTTAAGTTTGTATTACATATTTTGACTTATGTAAATAATCATTCTCAAAAAACCAGTACAGTACTTAAAGATTTATAAATTTCTGCTATTGCAGGAATTATTATTTGTTAGACCGATCTTAGAAAATAATTCTCATATGTTCTCTGGACTGAATGAGAAGATAGTTAAACAAATCAAAATGAATACTTACTCTTTATCTAGTAATAGTTGCTTAATGAGACGTAACCGAACACGAACAACTTTCATACTTTGAAATGGGAATAATCTACAAAACCTGGAAGTAAAATCTGGATCTGTGCACAGTTCCTTCTTAAATTTACAATGGTCCCAAAGTCTTGTGTTATGACTGAACTGGTGCCAGTGACTTTTACCATATTCAAAGTAATCATTCATGTCATCATATTGGCACAGAAACATCTTTTTAATAGTCTTCAGAACATTGTCGGATTCTGGTGTGCCTCTTATTTGTACAATTCCATAATTCAAAAATGGTTCATAGTGATAAAAATTACCTGGCACAGAATTAAGCACCTCTCCAAGAAAAGTTGTTCCTGATCTCCAAGTTGATATTATCAAACTCCTTAAGGGTTGCCCCCCTGATTCCATCACTAAATCTTCCAGCTTCTTTACGCCAGAGTGTGTAAAGTTATATACTAATAATTCATGTCTGATTTTTATCCTCGTTTTATCTATAATTTTTTCAATGTCAGGTGAACCATCATAAGGGTTGGTTGGTACTGTCTGCACTATATTTTCATCTATATCTTCAACTTTTAAAAAATACTTAATATTCCTTCGACTTTCAGAGGATGGACGGTAATTGGTGTTATCTGTATATCGACTTCCAGCAAATATTAAAAGAACACTGAGACCGAACGCAAAACATATTGAGTAAAAATTAATTTTCCGCAACATTACTACTTAAAAATACGAACAAAACTGACCACAAAAAAAATACGCAGAGAGACAATACTTAGGTATTTAATTTAAAAAGAAACACTTATAAATACACAATCACTGTCATTTTTTTTAAGGTTTTTGATTTTTTTCAATCATGATTCTTGATTTTGCGTTTCCACGGAAACACCGCATTGCACCTTCAACGCCATTTTGAAAGATTATTTGTCAAACGTTTGTATATAGGTGTTAGTTGTCAAAAACTTTTTTAAAGTTGTCACAACTCAAATTGTTTGCAATGAAGTTTGTCGTATCAAAAAATAAGATTTTTTCTTATAATACATTTAAAAACACAAAGAATAACGCAAAATATTGGTATTTCTTATTAAAGCTGGCGCTTCACGTCCTCTTCTACTAACGTACTGTTAGTAAATGTACTTCTTTAAATGAACAATTATTGAAAAGCCCAGTCAAGCAACTTTACAGTAATAAAACATGCTATTCTATTGCTTTTACCCGTTCAAATTACGTTATTACTTTCTGAAGTTTTTAATTAAATCCTTTTTTATCGACCTAGATGTCGAGATTTTTTTAAATTTTTGACTCTTTTTTTACTTTTTATTAAGTCCTTTAGTATAGGTGCATTAAAAATTTGCTTTCGTAGGTTTTTCAGGTATTTTATGTTATTTAATTAAATAAAATTGTTAAAAAAAAATTTTCACTTTATAATTGTATATTACCATAGAAAATTAATTCTTTTAGGGGTTAATTAAAACAATTATAATAACTAATAGCGTCACGATTTTTGTTCTACTACTTTGGTTTAAAAACAAAGAAACAAAATTTCCAGTTTTAAATAAAATAAAAAATATATAGCTACAAAATGCCCCTTTTTGGCCTTATTCGGTTTTTAACAAATCAAAGGATTTTAATAACATAGTTTGTATTATTTTTGGAAGTCCTTGTTATGAAAGCAACGAAATCAAAATACTAAGTTTTAATAGCTTTTGAGGTTTCCAATTAATAAATGTTTTTTTAATTTTCTAACTCTAAGAGAAAAACAACTGTAATTTAATATTTAGACATACGTCGTCATCAGCCTATCAGCGCCCACTGCTGAGCAAGGCTTCTTTCTCACATGGAGAAGGTTTGAGCATTAATCACCACGCTTGCTCAAGGCGGGTTGGTGATTTCAAACTTATAATTGTGAAACTATAAGTAAAGGTTTCCTCACGATGTTTTCCTTCATCGTATGTCAGTGGTGTCTAAATACTCTCAGAAAGTACGTATGACTCCGAAAAATCACATTGGTACTTGCCAGGTTTGAACCCGCGCCCTCGGCAACGAGAGGCGGACCCTTTAACCACTAGGCCACCACTGACTGATTTAGACATACATATGTCTTAAAATATTGCTTCATTAAATTAAGCTTGAAAATTGAAATATAAAATTTTCTAGGAGTTTGGAGTATAGTTTTACAGAGAAGATACACTTGGGGCATTCAATATTTTTTTATGTTCAAGGCAGAGTTTGCAAAACTAGGGTTGATAATAAAATAAAATTAAATTGAAGGGACATATACCCAAGGCGGAATCTCTTCGCAGGTTTAACGTATTTCCTAGCTATCGTCCCACTCAAGTATTGAAGAAAACATAAGCCGCTGATGTGGATTGTACAACATCACTAACTACAAAGTTATAGGAAACATAACTGCTTCAAAACTTTTTTAACAACAAATTAAAATAACTGTTTTCGATTTTTAATTAACATAATTAAAATGAACACGTTTTTGAAAGTCGTCCGTGTGACATACGTATATAAAAGAATTTTGGACGACATTTTTTTCTCCTATCTAATCTAAATAAATTCATATACCCACTTACTTATAATAGAGTAGTTAACAAGCAATTCTTACTTTATTTACTTAATTAGAGAAATTAATTTAATGTATTGTTGTTTAATAGGTTTTCGGATAAAGTGTCTTGCTTTTATTGTGAAACATTTTGGTCGATAGTTGGAATAAGAATTAGAACCAAGAATTAGAAGAACCAACACATTACTTTAAGTATTTTTTTATAGACGTGTAACTGATTAGTTTAAATTAATAAATGAAGTGGATAATATGGTTTCTAAAAATATTTCAGGTTTAAATATTTTATTTTAGGGCTTAAATATCAATAATATGAAAATTAATTAATATTAAAGATAATATTTGTTTATCGTAAGATATGCAATGATTTATGTACCTACAGCAATATCTACTTACACGAAAAACAGAATCGAGTAAATTAAAATAAAAAAAAAAGATATTAATAATAAATTTACGGAGGTTTCCGTAACGCAAGTTATTTAAACTATAGGATCTCAGAATATTTGAGTACCAATTAAAGAAAATTTTATAATTTTTGACCGGTTGATGAATAGGCTATTAAGAAGATGAAGAAATTATTTTACAACAAGGTTAGACTTAGCAAGATAGCCCATATCATTAAAAAAAACCACTACATTATAGATCAGACTCACGGTTAATACATAGTATGGAAGACCTATTTCAACAGTAAGTTTTGTTCTTTTCGTTCTTACCGTCAAGGATCGTAGTTCTTCAGGCTCCACAATAATCCAGTGAAAGTGCCATTTAAATTCGCTAAATTTATTGAAACATTACCCCTGACAAAATGACAGACAAATAGAAAAGTAGAGGTTGCTTATCTCTAGATATATTATTTTAGTAAGCTCGTGAGAGAATATGATTATTTTGATACTAATAATAATTATATAAGAGACAATAGATTTTTTGTATGCCCACTCTTACAACTTAAAGAGCTTAGATGTTAAGTTTAATCTCTTTAGTGCATGTATTAGGTATTGTAATCATCTTGGTATATTGGATCGATTGGAATCCATTACTAATAAATTAAAAATTATTAAATGTTTTTAGAGGAAGTTTGTAACAAACATCGTAACATCTCATTAACGTCCCATAAAAAAATAAATTGAAATTAAAGTGTTACAAAAGTACATAAAAGGCGATATGTATTATAGCAACAAATTTATTAGCTCTACAAAATTTAAAAGTACATCAGACTTTATATCCAACAATATGAAATTTCCCAATGGTTTCTCCTAAAAAGAACCAAAGCCCTATTTCCAATCCCACGAGAAAGAGTAACCAAGCTTGTTTTACGGTTATTTGATTGTAGCATTTATTCTTAATGAAATCCTTCACTAGGGCCAAATCTTCTTGTAACCTCTAAAGTTATAAATATTATAAATTTGATCTTTGTTATCTCTACTCCTCTTAAGAGTTATAACATATCTATTGACATTTATAAACTATTGCAACTCAAAATTTGCTTGATATTATTTGGTCAAATGAAGCAAAAATAAAATTGAAACTAAAATTATTAAAATATTACTTTAACAATATATAAGTTTAATACCTTAATTTCGTCAACTTTCGGTGGAGACATTTCTAATCTGTAAAACCCTTTAGCAGTACGCATTTTATCAGCAAAACGAGATTGCAATGCTTTTGAATATTTCTCTTTTATTAGTTCCAATATTTCCTCACGGTGCTTCATAGCTGGTCTGTAAACATTGGCAATTTCCGAAAACAAAGCTGATCTTGTACCTTTGAAGAAATACGTATGGTACCTTAATTACTACCTATAAATTAAATTAATGAATCCCACAACATCTATTAAAAGAGTTAAAAAAACTTACGTAAATATCGAATCCCCAATTTAACAGATTTCGTTTTAGTTGCCATATTTCGTGATTGGAATATCTATACTACGATATGAATACATTGCCCTGGCACTTTTTTGTCATATTTTTCGACTAGTTTTTTTCTGACATAAACAGCCAGGTTTAATTGGTGTGTAACCGATTTAGAATGCTTATTTATATAAAAACTTTCATGTTTAATAACCCTAAATAGTTTTAATCTGTGAAATCTAATTCTAAACACTAAACAAATTAAATCAAATCAAATAATTCTCAGAGTGTATGCCGTTTACTTATTCGAGTAGGTACTTATAATAATTATTGAGTCATTTAATTGAATGATATTTAACAATTTTTTTTGTTATGGTAACAAAAAAGGCTTATATTATTTTTTGATTTATTAATTGCATTTAGTCGTGCAAATCGATTTTGTACAATTGTCATTTGAAGGAATATTTGTCCTACCTACGTGGAGCATAATCATGATATTCTCAATAGTAAAGAAAAATTTCACATCATTTGTCTTATACTTACTTCTGATTATATTCTCTCCTGCTTTGATTCTTATTTTTTGTGTAGTATCGGATAAATCTTGTTTATACTCGTGTATACTATTATTTCAGTGATTGATGTATAAGAGGTATACACAAAATTTGGGGGGAAACTGAGCTTGCTGAAACAGTCTTCAGATTTTGTTTTTATTAATAACGATTATTGTGATGAAGAAACAAATTAATATTTAGAGCCTTGAATTTTGTTTTTAGTAAAATTCAATAGATTATTTAGAATACATCCCTACTAATATTATAAATGCGAAAGCAACTCTGTCTGTCTGTCTGTTACGCTTTCACGCCTAAACCACTGAACTGATTTTAATGAAATTTGGTACAGAGATAGAGTTGACCTTGAGAAAGAACATAGGATTGTTTTTATCCCAGATTTTTGAAAGGTTCTCTTGGAAACGCGATATAACCGTACCCCACGCGGGCGTAGCTGCGGGCGGAAAGCTAGTAATACATAAAAGACACTTTTATAAGTAAGACAAAAGTTTCAGAAGAAATCTTGACATACATATGTATGTCGATGATAACGAACAAATTTCATTATTTTAAATCTCATTTTTTGCTGATAAACTGTATCTAAATGTACATTTATTTCTGAAGAAAGTACACAATTAAATGTCGCGTATAATTATTTTTACGCCTTCAATGACGATGCCATATATTTCAATAAAGTTATAACTTATAGCAGTCAAGAATGCAAGTTAATTAAACGATAAGTTTGTAAAGATCATAGAAAGGCGTACAAGTAAATTGAGATAACTGTGGTGAAGGCTTTAAAAACTTTGTTATTAAATTTTTCTATTAGAAGTTGTTTTTTTAATCCGGATAGTGTAAATTAAAAATAACTAAAACCAAACACAAACGTTTACTTAATTGGTACAAAAGTTTTAAGAGTTTATAAAACCTATTTGGATTTTTTAGGTAACTTTTTTTTGGGTTTCCTCGCTGGCTTAGGTTTAGGTTCAGGTTTGGCTGCTGACTTTTCAATTTCAACCTTCTTAGCTGCCTCATCTTGCTTAGCTTTAGCTTCTTTAGCTAACTTTTCTTCTTCTTTTCTTCTTGCTTCTTCAGCTTTTCTCTCCGCTTCCGCCTTCATTTTCTCCTGAGCAGCCTTAGCTTCAGCTATTTTACGTTTTATTTCTCTAGCCTTTTCTGCCTCAATGTCCTTTATTACATTATCTATGTTTGTTATTACACTGTCAGCGAGTTTACTGGCAACTTCTTCGATTATCTTTCCTGAAGGTCCGTTAAAGAAATTAACTGTCAACGGTGGTACAACTTCAGTTTTTGCATATCGCCATGCAGTACCCAGGGCTGGTTTCAGTGCTTTGCTTGTTGCTAAAAATTAATATAACCAAAAATAAAACTTGTATCATTTTTTCTTGTAGAAAATAAAAATTATTAACACGAATCACTCCCTTTCGAAATTCTATCTTTTATTTTTTCTAATTCCTTTTCAAGATAAACCCTCTCCTTTGGTAGTTGACGGTCGCGTAAAGCAGTTAAAGATGTTATTAACGTATTTGACAAGTTATCAAGTACGGTTTCCGTTTTAGTCACTATAGGGTTTAGGACTAAAGATCTTGCTTTCGTCTTCTCTAACCTGATCTTCGCATTCATCCACCAATTCGAAACGACTGGAGTAACTGTTCTCAGAGAAACTGCAAAACAAATTGCAAAATACAGGTTACTACGTACTACACGTGTAAATAAGCTGAAAAAAATATATAAATAAAATTAAACCTTACTCATAATGCTATTTGTTTTGCAATATTTCTTTGAGAAGCTTTATTTAGTTCAATAAAAATACCAACCTAACGCAATATCTAGAGCTTTCCTTGTGATCCTCGCCATGGCAGTCATAAATCTTGTCACTTATCTTTTAAAGTCTTTAATATCCGTTAGATTATAAAAACGATTTTTAAATTAATTTACCTACAATAAATTTTATATCGCAAAGCAAATTATGTTTTAATTATATCATTACGTTATAGATGCAAAAAAAACGTAATGTCAAACTTCACAGTGACATAAATCTTATATCAATCTAGTGACAAAAACAGTTTTATATTGTACATATTGATATCATGTAATTCAAAATAATGGTCATGACCATATAGTTTTGTATGTATTATACGAACGTGTTTCGATTGCAATGTTTAATGTATACCTAAAATCAAAGCATGAAATTAGTTTTGAAAATATTTCGTAGAGAATTTCTTATAGTGTTCGAGGTTCGCAGATCACGACTATTCAATTGCAGTAAGCTTTATTAATAACTCTTTGGTTAATAAAAAAAATATATAAAATTTGTGAGAATCATAAAGTGACTAATAACGAGTAGTAGAATCTTATAGGTAACAAGCTGTTAGCCGCCACTTCGTCTGCGTAAAGAAAAAATAAACAATGAAAAACCTTTTAAGCGCCCTAAAACCCACTCGCGAGCGATTACACTTAATTTCGGGATCAGCTTATTACACCAGCTACCTGCCAGTAAGAGTCTAGTCACAATCGGTCCAGCCATTTCAGAAATTAGCTTGATCAAACAGACAGACAGAAGAAATTGTAAAAAAAATTTAGCATACATATGTACCGTATACATATTCATAGGCATTTAGTAAAAAACGGTAATTTCTAATATACATTACTAAATCGTATTCAAAAGAAAAATAAAGAAGAAGTGAGTGAGAAGAGGAATATATATCACGGAGGGTGTCAGGTGAGCTATTACATAAAACTGTGAAAGTTTAGAATAAACTGAACTAAACGGCAGAGGTGGTAGAACCTAGCTGTAGTCAATTTACTACAGCTCGAACATGGGCTAGCTCAACCGAGGAAGTACCACCCTCTCACAGAAGATCAATGAGAAGTAGCCTTTATTGGCTGCGTTTCGTCCGATGAGTTGGAAAGACGTTTGCCTTTTCCCTATTACCACCCTTTCCTGCTATTTCCCTATTACCACCCCTCCCTTTTTCGTAACAATTAAGGTTGGGCGATTGTCATTACTGCCCATCAAGTAGGCCGTCTGCTCGTTTGCCACCTTAGGCATAAAAAAACATACAAAAACCTAAAAACCTATATTTTGTCGACCTGAATGTAAACAAAACAATGTCTGTTCACGATTTTAAATAAATGAGTTTCATGTTAATTAATTACATGAAACAAACAATCGCCATGTTGAAAAAAAAATTCCTATTTAATTAACAAAGTAAAACATTAGTTTGACAATTAAACAATTAGTTTGACGGATTAATTTATTAACATTTGAACTGTATTTTTTAATAAGGGCCTTGAACAGTCGATAAATCATTAGTACGTATCAACAACCCAGTTTAATTAAAAAGTTTGATACAATTTAAAATGAGTGACTATTGTTAATGGATTTTTTATACTAAACGCCTTTCAGCGTCGTTCTGTTTAAATAAAAAGTTATCTGCGCATAATTTAAACGTTGTAAAAACTACAAATGAAATTACTTTTTTATACAGATATATAACTTTTATTAATTTTTTTGAGTTGCGGATTTAATATTTCAATTTAAAAAAAATATTAGTTAGGCAGCATGAAACATATCTGAAACTAAGATACCCTTTTCTGTAGCACGAATTCAATTTTATTGTTTAAAAACTGTTTTCCTACATTTACACAGATTGGTTGATAATCACAAATAAGTATTTCATTGCAAGGCGTTAAAAATGTTATTGTTTAACTAAGTATGAATTATTCTCTTAAGGTGTTTTCTTTAACTTTCAACTTGTACAAAATGTGACGTACATTGATATTCCCTTCAAGATTTGATTCCCATGCGACTATCCATAAGTTTTTTTAACAAAAGTTGAATTATTGGTTTTATTTTTTGAATTGTTTCAAATAATTTATGAATAATTCATAGTCTGAAGGGGGGACAAACCTCTTTATTTGATAACTACTAATTTCAGATAGATTTTTCTCGAGTTTTCAAGAAGAAAAAAATATTTTGACAGGAAAAATATTTTCAATTAGTTAGCAAGTTTTTCCCGAAAAGGTTATTCGATTGCCAATAAATGTACGGAACTCTAGAAAATATTCAATAGTGTCATGTAACCCAAGGACATCTGCACCGTCGTTGTAAAACGAGATCATTATGAAATGGACACGTAATGTTTTATTACTTTAACAATATCATATAAAGTTTTATATATAGAAAAAGAAAAAATCTTAAATTATTTTGATGCATTGATAGAATATTTCCATCCATCAGGTTATATACTTATATAAAATTTATTAAAATTATACGCTTAATTATACAAGTATATTTATATCGATATTTCAAATCTATTACTTCATTCATAGGTTTTCTAAGGCATATTTGTCTACAAAAGTTAGAACCCTGATTCCCAAATTGCTATCTTAGTCTAATCAATGTTCAAATCAATCTGTTTATGAAGACAAGTATTGGGATGTTGTCAATATTATAAGAGTCATATTAAAACAAATTGCTTATAGTCTTTCCTTTAACCTTAAATGAAGAAATGTAGGAAAAATGAATCAGGAAAAAAAGGTGAAACTGTTAATGTCATACGAAATATATTGTTGTTTTCATTTGAAAACTTATTTAGAATTCGTAAACTAATCGTATTTACATTGATAGACATACACATATAAGTAGAACATATTTTAAAAACAAAGTTTTTGCCCAGTATTTTCTGTCTTTTCGTAAGACGACAGTTCGGTAGGCTCATAATTATAATTAAAATTATTTATTTTCTTATAACTGCAATTAAACAACCATGTTTTAATCTGCTTTTGGTAAGGAGGATACGGTTGACAACTAATACCAGCATTTCGACTTCTTAATTTAATAGGAAATTTGTTTTGCTATTAAACTTAAATAAAGAAGGTGTATTACGATGTAATAATATTTATTTTTCGTAAAACCGTCTGGCATTTATGATAAATTATTTAAACAAGTGTAATGCTAATGCTTAATTAATAGTGACGAAATATTTTATCTATGCACATATGTATTAGTTAATCATTATTCATTTCTTCACATCTGTTGAATTTTTCATGAATATATGAACGAATTCTTTTAATTTATGTAATGCAAACGACCACTGGTGAGACTCGGATACAATAAACTAATTCTTTCTTAGTTTATTTTTTAAAAATTCTTTAAGAATCAATGCTCTTTCACATGTACTTTACAACCAGTTAGGTCATTGTCGAAATGACCAGCTCGAAAATACGAGTATAAATTTAACACGCCAAACAATTCAAGTATAAATTAATTTAGTACGGAGAACACGTACGCGGATGAAAATACTTTTTTTAATCTTTTATTTCACTGACGTATTAAATGTCCAGCCGTCTGATAGTTAAAATTTTGACAATATATTGTAACCAAACTAGTTTACACTGTTGTTATTATAAAATATTACAACAGAATTATGTCGCAATGTCCTCATAAGACACGGGTTCTAATTGTTGAGTCATAACTCGTGTCTATTTATGAAACTTTCGCCTCACCCGCTAAATAAACCTAAGTGTCTTAAAATTGTTCGTATTACAACACAAGTGTCTTCATTTTGTGATATAACATTCTAAGGTTAAGTTATAGTGAAACGGAGAAAAAAGGGATTGAAAAGATATGATAGAAGTTTATTTGATTGATGACTCTCGTGGGTGCTTTTTTGTACGAGCTAAGCAACGCTAGACATGGTCTAGCTTTAGATGGCGTACCAAAACCGAAGTGCTAAGTCCAACACCCGCCTCCTTTCCATGGTAATAGTCTTCATGAAAATGACGTCGATTGGGAATTTCGTTAAACCAGGTAAGACAACATTAACACAAGTAAATAAGAATAGAATTTTTATTTATCTATACGAATGGTATCCGATGAAAACATATTTCATCAGGAATTTCTTAAAAAAACACTACAATATAAAGATTCAATATCATACGAAAAGTCGTGATATCTGTATAAATATATATAAATTTGATATATGATTCCTAAATGAATACTAAACATTTGCTTACGATTTAAAGCCTTGATCATAAACATTTCAAAGCGTAAAGAAATAAAAATCGCACAAATATAAAACTAATCTCTGAATCAAGGGTTCCGTACAGTTTGACGCAAGGACTCTAATGAAATTAGATACGAAACGTTGGGAAATAGGCCACAAGTCGGGATTTCTTTGTTGATTATAAATAACTAGTCATGTTTTTTCACACATATTATGGTCGGAAATTAACGAACAGTTTTATATAAGGTATCAAATCTTTGTTATCGACAATGTATGAGTAATTAACAAACTATCAACGACTTGATCTTGAGATTGCTTTGAATGATAAGTTTGAATTTTTTAATACCTCAAAGTTTAATAGTCGTCGTGATTTCAATAGGTAGGTATGTCTCTCTTCACGAGAAAAAGAATTTGACAGATAATAAGACATACAAAAATACAGACAGGTAGATAAACTAAAAAGTGTGACTTCTTTTAAGGATTCTGTATTTACTTATTATGTTACGGAACTCTAAAAATGATCTACGCACATCGGATAAAACTGATCAACGTTTGTTGTTGAATGAAGGACGTTTACCTTTATTTTTGTGATTTCATAGTATTGAAGTGTTAGCATATGATTGCAAATGAACAATGCTTGCACACAGTAAACAATGGGACATAACGTCAAACGAAGGTGAATCTGATAGCCGTGACTTGCCTTGTTTAGAGGCTAATCAATTGCTTCTCGTTTTGCTTCGATAAATGTACACTGTACGTATCATGTTTAGGAACTAATAAGAATTCATGTTCAATATTATATTAGTTTGTTTAAAGACGTCATGAATACTATTTATTTGTAACCCT